CTCTAATTTTGGTGAATATTTTTGTCATTTTTGGTAAAAAGTGATATTTTCGACTTCTTGTTAAAAACCGCAAGTCCGATTGCTTTGATATTACATATATAGGTACTACATGTGGACCTCTCTCAGATTTGTTTATTTTGTGATGATATCTTCAATTCTCTAATTTTGGTGAATATTTTTGTAATTTTTGGTAAAAAGTGATATTTTCGACTTCTTGTTAAAAACCAATAGTTCAATTGCTTTGATATTACATATATAGATACTACATGTTTGTTCATTTTGTGATGATATCTTCAGTTCTCTAATTTTGGTGAATATTTTTGTCATTTTTGGTAAAAAGTGATATTTTCGACTTCTTGTTGAAAACTGTAAGTCCGATTGCTTTGATATTACATATATAGGTACTACATGTGGACCTCTCTCAGATTTGTTCGTTTTGTGATGATATCTTCAATTCTCTAATTAATTTATTTTGGTGAATATTTTTGTAATTTTTTGGTAAAAAGTGATATTTTCGACTTCTTGTTAAAAACTGTAAGTCTGATTGCTTTGATACTATTCATATTGTTCATTTTCTAATCATGTCTTCAGTTCTTTAATTGAAAATGTGCATTGCTAACAGCGGAGCTATCTCAGCCGATAGGCTGCTTGTTTGTTTTTTAGCCAATCAGAATTCATCTTCCGAGCCAATGCAGATCAGCCGAGCAATCACGATGGCTTGATGTAATTATCAGGGGTAAATTCTTCTCCACGGGGTTCTCCACACGTGTCAGGGGGGAATCTCGTCTCGTCTCTATATCTCGTCCCCTCGAGGTACGGGATCAGGGAAGTCACTTTAACTTTACAGTCAAATAAGACACACACAACGAAATACGTTTCAACTCTCGTCTTAGTCGGTCAATCGAGCACTCTATAAGACACAGCGCCCTGGGGAAAAATCCCCAAGACTATCGCAAGGCTGACCCAAGACTCTTTTAGACTGCGTCAACACTCGCCCCAAGGCTCTCCAGGACTGCTCTAGACTGCGTCTCTCGTGGTGTACTCCCCAAGACCTACTCAAACTCTCTTTATTCATTTTCAAAACTCTAACCAATTACAAAACAGTAAAAAAACTCTAGGGCGTAGCCTTCAATCATAAAGCCAATCACACTAAGTACTGAATACGTCATATCTTTTGATTAATCGTTCACTACATTAATAACTACGGATACCAACTGTCAAAATCAATAGTCAGAATAGCGACGGTTATCTGTAATTAGTTCCAAATCACTGAGCCAAGTTCCGTCCAAAACTTCAAATAGGCCTAAACGATGACAGACATAACACAGCAATTCGCTAATAATCAGCTAATTAAGTCGGTCAACAGATACGCAAAAACAAATTCATGACATAATAATAACAAGAGAACTGGTGATGGTTGTAGAGCCATAACTGCCTCAGCTCAAAGACTTATGTAATACAAGGGAATGTAAAGGGAAATGTATTGTAGTGTTACCTCTGTGTAATTTACAATATATCCGCATTAACCTTCACTATTAAGGACAATATGGGAGTAGAAGCAAGGTTACGCAAATTTGCGAAAAAGTAGTTAGTTAGAATTACCAGACATTGTGGAATATAAAGAAGTGGCATATTAACCCAACAAACATACTCGCACATATCCATACATGTCTTATTGTGTGGGGGAAAGCTGTCATGTACACATTCATAATAACTGGAAATGGTTTCACAACAGAAAACAAGTGTTATTGCTGTAAATAATTATGAACAATAAAAACTGAAATTTAGAAAAACTATGAACAAAAAATAATGAAAGTCTGTAATTTTCTGCAACCATAACATTTATAAAAAGCACAGTGCTGAGATTCACTTCGAGTATATCAGAATGTCGTCAAAACGTACAGTTTGGTGACATAATTCAAATTTTGTATAGTTCAATATGCATACAACCACCCATGTACTAGTACATTTTGACAATAAACCCCTCTTTCACATTGTGCAAATACAAACAAGACATTAAACCTTTCTGACAGTAACATGTCAGCGTTGTATTAACCCGAATGAAAAGTCTTGAGTCACGGCGAATACTTCTATCGAGTCGCCCATTTAAAAACCGCTTCAACTAGCCAAGGCCAATCAATAATGTGCGGGGTCATTAATTAAATAATATTAATTTTATTAACACCTACACATTCCCCGGAGGGATTGGCAATGGCTATAAATGTTTAAGAAAGAATAAAAGGTTAAAAAAAATAAAAAAAATAATATAAAATAAAAACATACAAAAAACTAAGCTAATACATTACTGTAACAGAGAACGAAAATATTAAGACTAAATTATTATACAATAAAAAGATAGAAAAAATGCAAAACTTAACTGTGAACGAAAATTGTCACTGGGGTTGCTGTCTTATTTCAAAACACTTCTTTAGGCACCTTGCTACAGGGAGTGTTAGACCACTGTTGTTTAGCAAGGCTATGAACTGTGTCTTTGGTGACAAATTTTAGTTTTTGCCATTTCAAATAAGAC